AGGAAATACGAAACATTTAACTAAAGTAATTTTTATTTTTTAGCAAGCATATAACATGTAATAATTGGTTAAAAGTTTTCAAATACATAAAAGAAGCCTTAAGTTATATTTAAGTTGTCAATAAATTAATAGGACATCAGAATTGTAAATATGGCTTATGAACGAAAGATACGATAGCTAGTGAATATATGAAAGTGTTTCTTCTTTTGCACTCAAATAATCTTATGTTAAAAAATAAAATCTATAATATACATGAAAGTTTGTCTCCTCTCACACGGGACACGTTTTGACTTTTCCGCCGCTATATCTTCTTCGACTAGTCTTATTTTTTCTTAAATCTCTCGTACAATATATTAATCTCTACCAGCGAGTGTGACGTATGACTCTTCTTCCTCCTCCCTTTCTTCTTCTTCTTCTTCCTCCTCCCATTTAGATTGCTCCCGCCGAACCTATCGCCTCCCCGCCATGTTACCCTGCTGCAGTGAGTTTGCCCCCCCACCCCCTTCCAACCACCACCCCACCGCCGCCGCCGCCACAACTATTACTACCACCATATACCTTAACCCCAAGCCTTCCTCAGGCCATCCACTGTCACCCTCGCCAGCGGCGTACCGCTACTCACTCAACTATCGTCTCAGATACCTTGCCTGCATCGTTCCCTACTCCTTTGGTCCTACCTCTAAACCTAAAAACATCTAGAATCAAACAAATCCTGAATACTTGAACTCACTAGAGAAGACAGAGATAAAGACGATGATGAGAGATCTCACCGGAGACGAAGATGACGATAAAAATTCCACGTCGAAGATAGAGAAGATGATAAGAGATCTCCTCGGAACAAAGGAGGGCTTCCTAGAGTAGCGTTTCCAAAAAAAAATGCCATGATGGCTATAGGAGGTCCTCGGATCTCCTACAATCTACCGAGGGATCAGCCTGTTGGAGTGTTGGGCATCCACCGGTCACGGCGCCCGTCCACAACTCGACGGCTCAGCCCCAGCCGAGGCTGGCGAGCCCACCGCATCCCGCTCGGCTCCCGCCGCGGCTGCGCGGTGGCGCACAAGCTGGCACCATGCGTCGACCGCCGCATAAACACGCGCGCGTCGTGCCGGAGGCAGGCCTTGCCCGTCTTCGCCATCCCCAGCAGAACCGCATGCCCCAAAAGCCCAGAAACGAGCAGAAAGCTTTGCCTCCTGTTCCCCGCGAGAGTCAGTCGCTCAAGGCCGCGGCGAGGAGAAGCAGAAGCGCGACACCTCTCCAATGGCGGCCTCCTAGCTCGCTCCTCCGTGCAACCTGTGTAAGTCGCCTCTAATCCTGTGTTCTCTGCTCCGGCCCCTCTCCTCTTGTTGGCCGGGAATGGTTGCTCCTGCGGCGTCGCTCAGGTCTTGCCCGTCTTTCAGGCGCTTCTCGGATGCTGCTGAGGCCTGAGGCTTCCTGAGACAAGCCTGCGCTCGCGATGGAGGGGTTCTCGAGGGACTTCCTGTGCGGCATCGGCAAGGGAGACGCGCCGCCACCGGAGCAGAGGCCGTGGCATCTGCGGAAGGAGATGGAAGAGGAAGTAGAGCTAAGTCTTGGGCTGTCTCTAGGCGGCCTGTTCGGCATCGATCGGATGGGGGACAAGCTCCCCCGGACGTCGTCCATGGCGGCCATGCTGACGCCGCCGGTGGAGGTGCCGGCGCCGCCCGCCCTCCCGCGGGCGAGTGGGAACCCGTCCTCTGCCTCTTCGGAAGGTGATGGGCAGAGATTGCAAGGTGCGTGCGGCTTCTCTTTGTGGGGTTTATACTATCTTTATTTAGTATTTTGCGACCCTTGATAGTTAATTTGGCTTTTAGATTCCGTGCTTAGCAGTGCCGATTGTGATCGTTTTGGTAAATGGTGTAATTGTGAATTATTTTCCAAAACTGTGTTAAGTAGGCGGAATAATATTTTATTGCAGAGAACTCTGTTGATTCAGTCATTCTTTCTGTTATAGGTATGTATTTCTTCATCAAATATCTCTGAGAAAAGATTAGTAGTTACCTGTGTGATGCACTAACAGTTTGAAGTTTAGTATTTGATATTTCCATGAATACTTATGTGCAGAAGCAATATGCACAGATGTGTGTCTAAAGTACTTTCAAAAAATTGTAGTTTTGCTAATTGGTTTTTAATTAAGTTACTATGTACATTCGTTAAAATTTTAATGGCAATGTAAATAAACAGAAAGAATACATGCTTTAAGGTAACAATCACATGCTGAGAAATCGAATATCTCAGTGTTGCCTGAAATGAACATCAACAGCTTTTCACAAATTTCCAATATCTGTAAATACTTACTAAATATTGCAGGCAGTGGCACCCTCATGAGGACTAGTTCACTCCCTTCTGTCATTGAGGCTGCTGGCAATGATGAATGGAAGAAACGGAAGGAAGCACAGAGTCTGAAGAGACTCGAGGTTAAGAAGAAAAGGATTAAGAGGAGGAACTCTCTCACTTGCAGCACTTCAAAAGAAGCGGCTGGGCAGAATCCTGAAGAGATGAATGCACACACTGACAAATTAGTAAGTTGTGGCGGAGCTGTTGTGGGCACTAACGAAAATCATAGCAGTGGCAAGCATCTGGCGAAGGGGCTTCCCCCAAAGTATCAGGCTACAATTACATCACAAGATAGTTTGTCAGCAACGGGAAAGAAGCCAAGCTCTGCCTTCAAAGGTATCCCCTTTTGTTTGTTATATGTACACCGTTTAGACATTCTCAGTATCCATTTCCCATGCTTCCAAAAACATGAATTTTGCCAATGCACCACAGGTGTAATAATACATGAATGAACTGGATTGATATTTGCCCTTAAATTAGGACTTTGGGCCCAAAGATCAATGTTATTTACATCTATGATCTTATAAGTTAATATGGAGTTCTATATGTGTGATGCATCGAGATGTTTTACATATATTTGATGTTAGTGGTTATTAGCTAAACAAAGGCTATGCTGTGTGAGAATCTCTGTTGGGTCCTCTTCAATAGTCACTAGACATTTCATGCCATAAGCGCCTCGCTGAATCTGGAAGATTCAAATTTCTATAATGTTCAGCTCTTATAGATGGAGGCTGTATTCTTATATTGTTCAGTTATTATAGATGTGAGCTGTTTGTATATGCTTGAACACTTTCTATTCTAGTGGTTCTTCCCATTGGATTTTTTTTTTTTATCATTAAGCTCTATATTATACTCATTCCTGATTTTTTTAGGAACAGTCGTCACTAAGGAGCCCAGCTCGTCATCATCTGTTCCCTCCTCCGGTGAAGCTATAAGGAGCGTGACGGCAGCAAGTCCACCGCCGCCTTCGTCTTTGGTAGCTCCCAGAACAGCAGCAACCCTTGGTTCCAGGGGAGATCAAAGCATTTTAGGCAGGGCTGCTGTGCTGCAAGGGCAAACAGCATGGGGGGCGTGGAAAGGAGGATTTTGAAGGAGATGCCGGGCGTGTTCACCAAGGGGCTGCCCAACGGCAACAGGGTTGAAGGCTTCCTGTATAAATACAGGGAAGGAGAAGAGGTGAAAATCGTATGCATCTGCCATGGAAGCTTGCTTACTCCGGAGTTTGTGCAGCATGCCGGAGCCGGCAACGGCAAGGTAGATAACCCGCTGCGACACATTGTCATGAGCCCTACCCCGACCCTGTGAGTGAACCTCGCCAGCAGACCCGTGCTGCAAGCGTCAGAGTAGAATCTCTTCGTCAGATTGTGTTTGTGGTGCAGTGCCCGATTAAATTGGTGAGCATTATGGGTAATATAACCTGTTGATGATGTTCTAATCTTTTCTAAGCCTGCAACATTTTTTTTCTTGTATGTAGTAGGTGTTCCTGCAGAAAACGAAGCTCACGGTAGAGTGTTAGCGGCCGGCCATGACTTCACGCAGGCACATATATAGCTCCCAATCACTTTACTGCCTGAATAACTTAGACCAGTATTCCAGTACTTAAAAAAGGGTGCGCCATCCATATGTATTTCATCTGTAGAGGCTGGAGCAAGTTAAGCTTATTTTGCTACCTAAGTTCTTATTCGGATGTAGTCGGATTCACCTCAATCCACGTGTGTTGGGACACATGAACACATGTGGATTGAGGTGAATCCGGTAACATCTAAACAAGGCCTAAAGAAAGTATGAATCCACGGTAAGCTGACACTGGCAATTCCCGGAAACATGTATGAGAAAAGACTGAATAGATGGCACAATGATATAGAATGCGCAATTTATCATACGAGTATACGACTTAGAGCAGGGAAAGGTTTCTACATCTGATCTGATTGCTTATACATACGAAACTAAAACTTAGCTGCAGCGACCTGACAACATCATCAATTAGTCCTAATATAATATCCTCGCTATTTGCTCAACCAAGTTGCATTGACACGGAATTGGAACTGCAATTCTGTAAAGGTTTCATGCATCATGCTTGAACTGTCGTCATAGCATCTGTTGCTTGACATCAAGGCGAACAGACATCTACATATATCTTACACAAGTGCTAAAACCCAATGAGAGCAACACAGAACAGTAATAAAGTGTCAGGTGCGCAGGGAAGAAGGAGGAGGAGGTGCGAAGGGCTATGATTGTTGCGCGTCTGGCAATAGGTGGTATAGAGCTGAGTGGCTAAGTAGTCAGCCTTGGGGCTGTAGTGTGGGGTTAGTGGGCCTCTGCATGCCTGGTGATGGGCCGGTTCGGATGAGGCCGTGGCCGTGTATTGAGCCGTGCGGGTGCGCGAATATAAACATCAGTGACCACGCTGTGGATGGCATTGAATAACAGAAATGTAACAGAATCCAAGTCTGAACTCTGTTTTGTTCCCTTCTCTTGTTCCATTCTGTTTTGTCTTCCCAAATCCTCCAATTCTACTTAGTTATCAGTCAGGATCTTGACCCGGATCGTGACAATTGGTATCAGGAGCTGTCGATTCTCGGCAAATTTTTGTTTCCGCTTTGATCGTCCTGGCTCCAAAGCGGAAACCAATCAAGTTTCAGCAAGACATGGCGACCTCCACTGAAGCTCTCTCAGCGTCGATGGAGAAGATGGCAACTCAGTTCGAGGGGTTCCAGACAATGATGAAGCAGACGCTGGAAACCTTGAGCGGCGTTGGTGCGTGGCAGGCCACTGCTGACGAGGCGCTCGAGCATTTGCGTCAGAGAGCTAATGCCGCGGTGACCTCCATCGGTGATGTCTCATCTTACATCTTAGGTCACGCAAGCGACTGCGCGTCTGGATACTCTGGAGATGCAAGCGCGAGCAGGACCAAGCGTGCTCGAGCCGCTGCGGGGATCTCTACCACGTCCGCCTTCACCTCCGCTACCTCGACCGCACTGGTTCGACCTCAACCTAGCTCCCGGAACATATGCAATCAGTATTAGATTTGGTTAAGGATGATTTGTTTTAGTTCTAAATACAAAGGACGAGCAAGAGTATGGATTTCGACATATAAATTTTTTAATTTCAGTCATGATAGGATATGCTTGGAATAGGCATACTTTCTTGTTATAAGTAGATAACCTTACTGTAGAAGTGCGATTAGATACTTATGTACAACAAACATTCTAGAAGAGTTTTATGGTGGTAGCCAGTCACGATCGCCTCTTGCTTTTTTTTTCCGAAAGGGGTGGCAAAAGCTTTGCCATTCATTTTATTAGACGAAGAAAAGCAAAAAAGCAAAAGAGAGTTACAGAATATTTACAATACCAGACCCCCTGGAACAGACCTTATCAACAACAGTACCAGCTAACCTCCTTACACAGGCGAGGCTAACCCAGGGGGACCTTTAAGCACAACTACATAAAGGACAACAACAACCATGAAGAAAACGGCCTAGCTCGAGAACCAGAAAGACCAACATCAGCACTAGATTAGTGAAAACTTTCGATACTATTTGACCCCAAATCATATTGCTGAATGTCCTCCTTGCATAGCAAAGCCACTTGTCTTGGTTGTAGAGTTTTTTGTGGAAGGTTCTTCTAATTCTTTTTTTCCAAATATTCCACCAAAAATAGATCATGATGCTGTCAAAATACCTCGTCTGTGATTTCTCAAACTTCATCCTGCATTCCTCCTCTGCTTATTTAATGAACTTATAACAATGTTCAGTATTTGCATGCAATGTTATCTTATATTGCTACAATACTAAGTAAAAAAAAAGAGAGACATTCAAGTGATATGTCACCTATGTACCTTGTAGTTTTCTCAGATAAATGCATTTGCTCGTTTTCCTTCTCCTCCTAGATAAATTATTGAATTTGGAAAACTAAACACCCAGTTGTTATCATCCTGCCCTGATTGATTGAGCCATGTACTAAATTATTCTGATCTTAATGCAGATTATCAGGTGCCACCCAAGATCTGCCCAGGTCTGTTATATGCAATATCCATGGTGTTAATCCAAAATTTCTTGAGGTAGGAAAGCTAAAGTTGAGGCAGCTGTAGAATGGGGAGAAAACCTTCACAAATGGGGCATACTACATCAGGAAGATGGTATGGAGTAAGGGATAAAGGGAGCTTCTTGATCTGCTGTCCAAATATCAGAGCAAGTTGGTTGGTGACAAAATCCTAACATATGGGTATGTTAAGCCTCGGGATCGATGGTTCCCGACCAAAGAGACCCCCCCCGGCCGACCCCTCCAGGATCATCCAGGGGCTCGGGGGCTATACCCATCAGGTACGCTCGCGCGCACCCTCAGACCAACAAACCCGGCCAAGCCTGAGCACGCCGCGGCCTTTGCTCAAGGTTCAGGGGCTCGCCCCAGCCTCAGGCTCCCGATCGACGGGAAACCTGAGCCCGATCCTTGGCTCCTGCCCGACCTACGACGCCAACCAAGGCCCGGGCACAAGAAGACACACCCCTTGCCATCGAGGCTCAGAGGACTCCCCGACGCTGCACTCTGGGCGTGGCGCTGCCAGCCGCTCCCCCGACAGGGTCACGCACGAGGCGTGACACAAGAAGACAAGCTCTCCTCGACCTCCGGGGGCTCGGGGGCTTCCGGGCCCGCGCGTCGCCCCTCGAGCCTACCTCCCTCGCCACCAAGAAGACTCTAGAAGGTGCGCCTGGGGCAGGCCGGTCCAAGCCGACACAGCCTGACACTCAGTGTGTCAGAACAGGCCAGCCGGACGACGCCCAAGGCTTCTTTAGCTCCATGACACCGCCACGGTCCACAGAGCGCCGCTGCAAGACCCTTCTGGACTTCGGCGCATGTAGACCATAGGCTCAACCCCCAAACTACCATGTACCCAACCTATCTCGATATATAAGGGATAAGGTCGGATCCTAGAGGGAGGAGGACGATCCGAGACAGATCATTCCATTCCTCATCGATCCGCTCTTGCTCGGCTTCGAGAGCAGAGCAATCCAGAGAGGGGCACCGAGAGCTCCTCCACCGCACCCGTTGTCTTCCTCCTCTCTGACGAGGGGAAGGCTCCACCGGTGGCAAGGTAACCTCAGGATTAGGACCGAGCTAACCCCCTACCAAATCTCTCTCTAGCTCCTATACACTCTGTTGTAACCCCCTGATTTTGGGTGCTCTTGAGTATAAGGATCATGAGCTGCTGGACGTAGGGCATCGATCGGCCCGAACCAGGATAAACCATTGTGTCCTCTCTGTGATTCTTGTATTCTTGAGTCCACCCAAGCCACCGAAGACACGTACTCTGACACCGACTCGAACAACAATGCTTACCGCTGTTCCAACCCTACGACAACTGGCGCGCCAGGTAGGGGGAAGATCGCCACCGGCGAGGTGCTCCCACCGCCCGACCGCTTCTGGTACGGTGGACCTGCCTTTCGGGATCCAAAATGCGGCAGCGTCCTTCCAGCTAGAGCTAGAGCACCTCGTCAGCCGCGAGATTCCATAGAGCACCATCCTGTCCCGCGCAGCAAGGACTGACGTCCTCTCGCTGTGCACCTTCCTCGAGATCCTCTCGGGGAATGGTCTGGAGTACGACTCCGACGACATCGACTGCTACGCCCCGCCACGCATGTGCTATCACATCGATGGCAAGGTTCCTGCCGATGAGGTGCCTGAGCTCACACCGCCGGACCAGAGTCCCCGCAGCCATGCGAACTACCTTCGGGAGAAGGCTGCTCGCCTGCAGGCTCAGTAGGTGGACCTAGAGGCCACCGAGGCAGAGATCGAGCACCAAAGGCAGGACCTTGCATGGCAACAAGCCACACAGCCTCCCCGCAACGACGACGACGCCCGCACGGGGGCTCCCAACACCCTGCGCTTCCCTCGAGCGGCCTACAACATGGCAAGCACTGCTTGTCGGCTAGAGGACATCTCTGACACCCCAGACCTGATGACCAACGAGTGGCTGCACGAGGCGAGGTGGCTTCTCTGGGTCGCCCTCGAGCAGCAGGCCGAGAGCTCTGCTTCCCGGCATCGCGCCACGCTCTCCAGACTGTCCCAGCCGACGACCACCACCAACGGGGATCGCTCAGACGCTCATGCCCCACCGGTGGGCGGGAGCAGTGGTGACTCCTTCGGCAGTAGCTCCGACCGCCCGTGGACCAGAGGCGCCAAGCCCTGGCAGGAGTCAAGATGGCAACGGGTACGTACCCGATGGGTACTGGCCACCCGTACCCGCACCCGCCAGATCAAAATCTTACCCGTCGGGTTACCCGTACCCGTAGGCGGGTAGAAAATTCATTCCATACCTGCACCCGATGGGTAATTCTTACCCGACAATATACCCGAGTTCACACACCAAAATATAATAGCTTCCAGCAAAACAAATCAACAATAGAGTAGAAAAACAGAAATATGGGCTGGTGGAGTGGAGTGAGGATGAGGATTAGGGTTTGAGGGAGTTCAGAATATATATACTCATATGCTTATATGGGCTAAATATGGGCTATATGCTTATATGGGCTAAAATTGCAGAGGTTGGATATTATTTATGCGGGTTTTTTTACCCGCGGGTATGCGGGTATGGGTAGTATACACCCACACCCGTACCCGCATACCCGATGGGTACAAGAATTTGTCCAATAACGTACCCGCGGGTGCAAAATGTCTTCCATACCCGCCCCCTTATCGGGTAAAACCCGTCGGGTACTCGGGTTTCGGGTACCCGTTGCCATCTTGAGGCAGGAGCGAAGGCGCGAGCTTTCCCCTCGGCGTCCCTCCGCGCACCACCATATCAGCGACGACCGCGACGTCCGCGATACCATCGAGGCCAGCGCCACGCTCAGGCGTAGTCCTGCACTCCTGAGCGGAGGGACAGGAGCGCCGCCCTGGACCACTTCGGCCCCCAGGCGTTCGGGGCAGCAATCCAGGCGGCCCCCTACCCTAGGCAATTCCAGCCGCCGACGCACATCTCCAAGTACGACGGCTAGACCAACCCAGACCATTGGCTCGAGGACTACAGCCTTGCCATGAGGGCCGGGGGGTCGGATGACGACTTCGCCGTCTACTACCTTCCCCTGCTTCTGTCAAGAAAGGAGTTGAAAGCGCTGGTCACAGGGTGACCAGACACGTCCGGTGCTTGACCCTAGCTCTGGTAGTGTTGTAGAGGTGACCGGACGTGTCCAATATCTGTATCAGACGCGTATGGTATTTAGTCCAGGTGTGATCAGTTGAGGCAGAGGTGACGGACTCTGGGGAGCATCCGGTCGGTGGTGATCCGACGTGTCCGGTCATGCCTTAGACATCTTAGTGTAGTTTTTCGCTGTGACCGGACTCTACGTAGTGTCACGTCCGGTCAGAGGAGGTGGCGCATGCGGCTATGAGTGACCTGACGCTGGTGGCGTCCGGTCAGCCTAGAGCGGCTCTGGCAGCTCTCTGGACTCGACCTGACGCTGCCCAGTGAGTGTCCGTTCGTTTTTTCTCTGTCGTGTTAGAGCGTGACCGTGCTAGCCGTTGGGCACCAATGGCTAACTCGTTTGAAAGGGACACGTGGCCGCTTGGCAGCGACCAAACTCTGTGGTCCGGTCGTCCTACCGGACGTGTCCGATCAGTGCAAAATCTACACAGTGAGGGGCCAATGGCTCTATTTGTTTGAGCCCTCTATAAGTAGAGCTTGGCCGGCTTGGGCTCATCTCTCTTGGCACTTTGACATACTTGACATCCTTGTGAGCCTAAGCAAACACCTCCCACTCATCTCCATCTTTGATTCATCATCATAGTGAGATTGGGAGTGATTCCTAGTGTATTTGCTTGAGTGATTGTATTTAGTGGCACTTGGGGATCATTGTGGCTGCGGATTTCTTGTTACTCTTGGCGTTTTCTGACGCCTAGACGACTTGGAGCAGTGGAGGAGCATTGGCATGAGTTGGTGATTGTTCGTGGCCATCTCCCGGTGATTGTGAGGGGCCTTGTACCTTCCCCGGCGGAGAGCCAAAAGGTAACTCTAGTAGATTGCTCGTGTC